CTCACGGGCTGGGCTGTGCAGCACGGCCATGGCCCGATCCTCTGCTCCTGCCTGGCAGCTCCTGCCAGGCCATGGCTGGCTCCCTGGAGGGGAGCTTGGCCATGTTTCAGGCTCTTCCTCAGAGTAAATCTGGGAGGGCTTTATGGAAAGCCCTTCCTGCAGCTAGCTCAGGGGCTCAGGGGCCCCAGCTCACACAAAAATCACAGTTTGAGTTGTTTTTGGAAGGGCATCTCTTAATATCCACATCACCTTGAGGCACAACTATTTCTCTCCGAATCAGGCAGAGGTAAATGGGAGCCAGAAGTGATTTAAAGCTCATCTTAGCTCAGAATTCTCCAGTTTATTTATTGTCTTTCTCCCAAAGCTCTTCTGTGACTCTGGCTATTAAGATTACGGATGTTTTGTCAGGGATTGTATTTATCACGGATTTAAATTTAGCTGAGAACTAATAACATGTGAGGTGTGTCTAGACTTTAATTCTGGGCTGTGCTCGTCGGTAACGCCACACAGATTCTGCTTCATTCATCTATTGCCTCTTTGCCGATATTTGGCTCATTGATACCGCACGGCTCTGGCTCCGCCGAGGCTGCACTGGGGATGGCAGCACTGGACAAGGTGCTTTGGAGGTGCAGTCCCCTTCCTGCTGGTGCAGAGGCAGGACTGAGCCTGGGGGGAGTTGGTCTGCAGGATTCGGCTCTGCCCGCTCCCCATGCCCAACAGGGACCAGAACAGAGCAGCACATGCAGGCAGAGTGGAGCTTTTGGCCCAGCACACAAACAAGGCTGGTGCCTGGCACTCTTAATGAGCTGAGTGTTTTCAGTCCTGCTATAATTAAGCCCCTCAGACTGTATTTTGTTTAGCATGCCGTGTTTTGCTGTCTTTGATGGCTTTCTCAGCACGGCTGTGAAGAGCAGGAATTGGTTTCTGAGAAAAAAGGCTGCAGGCGAGCCAGCTCTCAGCAACAAGCATGTGCTGGGAGAGCAGTGCCCAGGAGGCTCCTGGCCATGGCCTGGGCCCCAGCCGGGGCTGCAGCACCAGCCTTGGGAACAAATCCATGTGCAACCTGGGCCATGCCAACCAGAGGGCCACTCTGGCTCCAGGGCACCAGCCCCAGTCCCATCCCCAACCCAGCAGCATGGCAGTGGTAGCAGCAGCCCCACTTGTATCTGTACTGCTGCCCAGCACCAGGGAGGTGATGACATGGGAGATGATGGATTGTAAATACCCAGAAAATGGCTCCTTGCAGCCTGGCTGGGGCCCAGGCACTCCCACTGGAAATGTTTCCACTGGACTGGGACGTGCTGGCCCAGGGCCAGCAGGAGGGAGCTCAGCATCCCTGCCAGGGCAGCTCGGCAGGACCAGCTCCCATCCCTGCACCCCTTCACTTTGGGGTGATGTGTTCAGCAGGATCCCCACTGAGCAGCCCTACTGCCGAGGGAGCAGGGAAAGGTGGGGGTGGAAGAGGACAGTGGAATGGGAGGAAACCACAGAGGGTTCCTGTGGGGACACTCCAGGCCCTCACAGCCCATCACTGGCTGTGCCGAGGCTGGTGTTTTCCAAGATGGTGCTGGTGGACATTTTTATGGCCAGTCCATCATCTCCCATCCTTGTATCTTACAAAGAAATTTTGAATAATTTTTTGGGAACAAAAGTGATCCTTGGGTCATATATCTGTATGAAATGATGAATATGAGCAGGCGCAATGGCAGGAATGTGCAGAACGTGTACCAGCTCCATAAATAGTGCTGGAGCAGGGAAAGTAATGGACAGGATATACAGTGATGGATACAAACAGAGCCAATGGAAGTAATGGATTGGGGGTGTTTGGTGATAGCCATAAATAGCATTAGTGGGAGTAGTGCAGAGAGTAACATAACAATAGATATAAACAAGGGCTGGAGTAGCCGGAGATCTAATATGCAATATTGATATGATGTGATTCCTCATAACAGCCTGAACAAGGAAGTAAATGCAACAAGGGCAGCATGACAAGGAGCATTCTCTTCTGTCGGGCCAGGATGGCTCTGGGCTGGGGCACAAGCCAGACCACAGGCCCCAGGGAGGTCTCCCAGCCCTCCCCGGGGACATCAGCAGGAGGCTGGGTCTTCCTCAGCTGACACCAGGCAGCTCCCTCATTATCTAGAGCCCCCTGGACCTGACTTGAGGCTACAGCTTGCTCTTGTAGGCAGCGTCTGCCCAGTTGCTTTTTCTGGGGGGGGAATGGTTTGGGTCTGCTCTTGCAGGCTAGCATGCTGGGAGGCAAGGAACTGGCCCTGGGGACACACTGAGAGCAGCTGGGGCATGGGGGAGCACAGAAGGAAGAGAAGCAAGGAGCTGGCTCCCACTGTGCTGTCAGTGTTGCTCGCCCCAAGTGGGGCTCCCCCACATACTCCATCCTGTGCTCAGCTCCTCTGTTTGCAAAGTATCCTTTATATTCAGGCTCCATCTACAGGGAACGGAATAATTTCAAGAACTTAAAATAGGATGTAGATAGATGTGTTTCATATTACATTATTTTTTTAAGAAGCAGAGGAAGCTGTATGACACAGATTCCTCAAGGCCTTCCACTCAAAAGTCTGTGCACGTTCAATCAAGTGGAAAGTCAGGGAGTGGGGAGGAGAGAGGGTCATGAAGTCAAAGGGCTGCATTTCAGCTGGAAAATTAGACCCTCTGCTGTGCATCGCTGGTGCCTTTTGCTTTACTGTCACCTCTGCCAGGACACCAGACCTTTTGCCGTGGCTGTGCCCATTGTTTGCTCACATGCCCGCTGCTCTTTCTCTCCCACTGTTACCTGCAGGTGAGAGATAGGATGGTAGCTGGGGAGGCGAGTATGCGCAGCCCAATCCTGGCCTGCTGGCAGCCAATTCTCCTCCTGATGCTGGGATCCATCCTGTCCGGCTCCGCCACGGGCTGCCCGCCGCGCTGCGAGTGCTCTGCCCAGGAGCGCGCCGTCCTGTGCCACCGCAAGCGATTCATGGTCGTGCCAGAGGGGATCCCCACCGAGACCAGGCTGCTGGACTTGGGCAAGAATCGCATCAAGACACTCAACCAGGATGAATTTGCCAACTACCCTCACCTGGAGGAGCTGGAGCTAAACGAGAACATTATCAGTGCCATTGAACCTGGGGCTTTCAACAACCTCTTCAACCTCAGGACGCTGGGGCTCAGGAGTAACAGACTCAAGCTGATCCCTTTGGGAGTGTTTACTGGACTCAGCAACCTTACCAAGCTAGACATTAGTGAGAATAAAATTGTGATCCTCCTAGATTACATGTTCCAGGACTTGTACAACCTGAAGTCTTTGGAGGTGGGTGACAACGACCTTGTCTACATCTCCCACCGGGCCTTCAGTGGCCTCAACAGCCTGGAGCAGCTGACCCTGGAGAAATGCAACCTGACCTCCATCCCCACGGAGGCCCTGTCTCACCTTCACGGTTTGATCGTGCTGCGGCTGCGCCATCTGAACATCAACACCATCCGGGATTACTCATTCAAGAGGCTGTACCGGCTCAAGGTCCTCGAGATCTCACACTGGCCCTACCTGGATACTATGACATCCAACTGCCTCTATGGGTTGAACCTGACCTCCTTATCCATCACCCACTGCAACCTGACGTCCATCCCGTATGTGTCGGTGAGGCACCTGGTTTACCTCCGGTTCCTGAACCTGTCCTACAACCCCATCGTCACCATCGAGGGCTCAATGCTCCATGACCTGCTCAGGCTCCAGGAGATCCAGCTGGTGGGAGGGCAGCTCACCACGGTCGAGCCCTTCGCCTTCCGCGGCCTCAATTACCTGCGCATCCTGAACGTGTCAGGGAACCTGCTGACCACCCTGGAGGAGTCAGCTTTCCACTCGGTGGGCAACCTGGAGACGCTCATCCTCGACAACAACCCCTTAGCCTGCGACTGTCGGCTGCTCTGGGTTTTCCGGCGACGATGGAGGTTGAACTTCAACAAGCAGCAGCCCACCTGCTCCACGCCCGAGTTCGTCCAGGGCAAGGAGTTCAAGGACTTCCCTGATGTCCTCCTGCCCAACTACTTCACCTGCCGCCGAGCACGAATACGGGACCGCAAACCTCAGCAGATCTTCGTGGACGAAGGCCACACGGTGCATTTTGTCTGCCGGGCAGATGGGGACCCGCCGCCCACCATCATGTGGCTCTCTCCCCGGAAGCACCTCATCTCTACCAAAACCAACGGGCGGCTCACTGTCTTCCCTGACGGCACGCTGGAGGTGCGCTACGCCCAGATCCAGGACAACGGCACCTACCTATGCATCGCCAGCAACGCGGGTGGCAACGACACCATGCTGGCCCACCTGCACGTGCGCAGCTACTCCCCAGACTGGCCCCACCAGCCCAACAAGACCTTTGCGTTCATCTCCAACCAGCCCAACGAGAGCGATGCCAACAGCACGCGCGCCACCGTGCCTTTCCCCTTTGACATCAAGACTCTCATCATCGCCACCACCATGGGCTTCATCTCCTTCCTGGGCGTCGTGCTCTTCTGTCTGGTGCTCCTCTTCCTCTGGAGCCGTGGGAAAGGCAACACCAAGCACAATATTGAAATCGAGTACGTGCCACGGAAGTCCGACGCGGGCATCAGCTCGGCCGATGCGCCGCGCAAGTTTAATATGAAAATGATTTAACCAGGCGACAATTTGCAAATAATAATGGTGTTGTTTGTTTTTAAAAAAAAAAAAAAAGAACAAATGAACAAATAAAAAATAATTAACAAACATTGCCACAAACATACCGACCTCTCTCCTTCTACCGTGCCCTCTGCCCCTGTCCAAACCCACTGCGCCCGCACTGTCACCACCTCCTCCTCCTCTTCTTTATACCAGGAAAACATTCAGCCGATGTCTTCAGGACTCCTGTGTTTGTAAGGACTTTGTCTGATGGACTCTGGTGTCAGATATAACTCTGAGAGGGGAAAAACAAAGGGGGGCGGGGGGAAGAAAGAAAAAAAGAAATAAAATCAATAAAAAAGTTACGAACTTTCTTCTGTAACTTTGATTTCAATAATTATGGATTTTTATGAAAACTTGAAATAATAAAAAAACCCTATTTCCTATAGATAGTTGGAATGAAAAATTTTGACTTCTTGATCTGTCCAGTTCTGTACCTGGCAAGTGCTTGCTTTCTTGCCTCAGAGGCACTTCCCAGATGCCTTGCCAAGAGCAGCCCCAGGCCAGGGCGAGTCTCCTGCTGACATCACAGGCACCTCCCACAGTGCCGTGTGTGGCACCCAGACAGGTTTGTCTATTTTTCCTGGTTTTATAGTCAGTTCCCCTGCCCATCCCCGATGCTTGTGGAGCAGGGCCATCACTGATGTCCATAAGCAGTACGGATCAGGGCTGTGCTTTCCTTTTCCTGCCCTCTGTGTGGGAGGAGGATGCAGAGCCCCACTGCAGGGCTGGCCCTGCCCATGGCCTCCAGGCTAGGAGCCAGGGGGACCAGGCTTTGCCTGGGCAGGGCTGGGGATCCTCCTGCTTCTTACATGGGGAGAGGACCTTCTGCCAGCCTTTGTAGGAGTAGCAGGGTGTCTCCTCTCCTACAGGGGACAAGCTGGCTCCTGTGCTCTGCACAGCTGTCCCCATGGGCAGGGATGTGGCACTTCCATTGGCAGCACCCACTTGGATGCCTCCAGCAACTGGTGCCTAGAGCAGCCCCAGCACTGCTCCCCACCTGCCTGTAATCCAGGACCTGATCTCTGGCAGCCAGACTCTCAAGAACCCTCAGGCACATCCAAGGGAATTCAGCTTTCAGGCTCACAGTAGACCTTGTCTGAAAATGGAATTCCATAGGTCTGTAAACACGGGCATAGGCTGAGGCAGAGAACAGGCACAGGCTGTGACAGACTGTCTGCCCTTGCCTAGCACCAGTGTGCCCATCACCATGGGGTCTGGTCACAGCAGCATCCTGCCTTTGCTCAGCTCTGGGACTTGGATCAGGTCTGGAAGGTCTGTGTTGCCTCACAGAACCATGGAATGGGTTGGGTTGGGTTGAAAGAGACCTTAAGGACCATCTCATCTCCACCAGAAAAGGGGAGAGAAATAGGGATTAAATTGGCCACTGGGCTTCCAGGGCTGGATGCACAAAACATCCCTGCAAATGGTGTCAGTATGGGCACTGAAAGTTTTATAAACCTTATTGAGTCAGCAGGTGCTTCCCAACCTTCCCAGCTGCCACCAAGAGGGTGGCACCACACTGACCCCCTGGCCCACCCAGCTTCAGTGACACTTCTTAGACAGATAAGCCCAGATTTTCATTCTTGGTTTGTAAGGCATCTGAGGAGTCTCCAGGGATCAAAGTCACTACAAGATGGTAAAATCTAAGTGCCAGGAGCCTGAAGCCCCAAGAGGGGAAAGAATGGATTTCCTTTTCTTTCAGCAGTGTGCCATCCTGGAAGAACCAACCTGAAGCATCTGTGCTGTGAGGAGGGGGAGATTTTGCTGATTTCAGCTTTCGGTACATCTTCAAACAAAACATTTTATGTTTCTTTCTCCACAGCAAGTTTCTGAAGCTTTGATTTGTTCTTTCCTCATCTCTAATACATCCTTCCTTTGTAACTTTGAAACTAATACATTTTTAAAAGCCTTTGGCTTTTGTTTTGCTTTTTAAAAAAGCTAAAGCAAAATGTTCTTTATGAGCTTCCCTCCCACCAGTGTTTAACCAATATTTCCAGCAAGCGAAGCACAAAACTGCCAACAGCAACACACAAACACACAAACGTAGCTGAAGGCTCCAGAGACTGCAGATCCCGCTCCAGGAGCTCAGAGCAGCACTCCCCTGGGACAGGCAGGGATGCACAGGGGCCTCAACCCTTGGAAGCCAAGCCAAGTGGAGCCAAGCAAGAAAGAACTTTAGGCACAGAAAGCTCAGTCTGAACCTGGTTGCCAGGAGTGACACAAACTCAACCAGTGGCTCAGCAGAGAGGTGGAGCGGGGGTCTCCATGACCCTGGACAGCTACAGGCACTGACCATCCAAAAGAGCTGCTTAATTGGCTCCAGTTATCACTTGCAATGCTGTAATGGAAAGAGTTAATTCAACACACACAGATTTTAAAAAATCTAACAACCAAGTCCAACGAGGAATTTGCAACACATTAAAGAGCCCCAGCAAAGTGGGAACCAAGTCTTTCACTGTCAAAAAAGGTTTTTTAAAAAATGAAGAGAGCAAATTATTTCTTCTCTGTAGAACACCTCAGGAATTTTCCTAGCCCAGCCCTGTCACAGAGCTCTACACCTGTACCCAGCCCCACCACCTCTGCTGCCCAAAACCCTCCTGGGGAGGCCACACAGCTGCCCCAAATCCCAGGCTGCAGTCAAATCCCTCATTAGTGAGTATGCCCGATGCTCTGTGGCACTGCCACACACTTTGTTACCCACACTGATTTTTTAATCTTCGATGCTTTGTGAACTAGATAATTTTTTTCCCAGTCACCATGTGATTGAAGCAGATGGATGGAGCAGAAAAAAAGCATCTCAGAGTAGCCAGCAACTAAGCTCAGCCATTTTCATAGCTGGTAAAAACAAGAAAAAAATCCAAACCCAAAGAATAGACTCTCTTTCTCTCCTTTGCTGAAATTTACAGTCTGTTTCTACTGCAGTTTAATCAGGGTGAGAAAGCAGAGGCTGGGTTCCAGCACTGCTCTTCAGGGAACCATGGCCCATGTGTCAGAGCCAGACAATAGTTTCCACTTGCTTCTTTTGAATCACAGTAAATACAAAGCACTTTATAAAACAGTTGAAAAGAGGTAGCAAAAAAACCAAGGGAGTTGTGCTTAGGGCGTGAAGGGCAAACATGCCTTACCTCCTCTGCTTCCTAGACTGGGAGTCCCATGGGGATCTTCATGATAGGCAGCGTGTGTGGGGACACAGCAGGGAGGAGGATGAGTAGTTAAACAGCACTTCCAGCCTGGGAACATCACCCACCCCAGGCCCTTCCTTCCCCACAGCTCCCTGTGTTCCCCCACTGCCAGGGCCCATGGCTGGCAGGTGCCTGGCAGGCAGATGTCAGCGCTCCCCCCTGCCTCCGAGGCAGGAGCAGGGCTAGGAGCACCCTGCAGGACACTCACCAACTCCCTGACCCTCCTCATAAACCCCTGTGCCCACTCAGCTCCTCTCCATGGACCACCAGAGGCATGCAGAGCATCTACAGGGGTAAGGGTGACCAGAGAAAAGGGTGTTAGGCTGGCCCTTCAGCTTCCTGTGCCCACAGCCCCCCAGCTCTGCCCACAGCCCCCCAGCTCTGCCCACATCCCCTCTGCTCTCTGCCTGCAGCCCCCCAGCTCTGCCCACAGCCCCTCTGCTCTGCCCACAGCCCCCCAGCTCTGCCCACAGCCCCTCTGCTCTCTGCCTGCAGCCCCCCAGCTCTGCCCACAGCCCCCCAGCTCTGCCCACAGCCCCCCAGCTCTGCCCACAGCCCCCCAGCTCTGCCCACAGCCCCTCTGCTCTCTGCCTGCAGCCCCCTGGCTCTCTGCCTGGTCTTGCTGCCTTCCCCTACTTCTATCAGGCCTTATCACACTTAATTTTACTCCTTCTCTCACTAACTGCCCTCTCTCTCTTATCTCAGCTTCAGAGCCAATATTTTACTCTCTCCCTTTTTCTTCCTTATCTCTCTTTTTTTTTTTTTTTTTTTTTTTAAATACTTTCTGCCTTCTGTGCTGCTCCCTCGCTCTCCTGCCATTTCTCTCTGTCAAGATCTCTCCTGTCTCCACCACGGCTGTGCTTCCTGCAGTCCCCTCTGAACACAGGTTTCTCCTCCACATTTCTTCCTCCCTCCTCCCCTGGCAGGGTCTCGCCCTGCTTCCACCACAGTGAGCAGCACACAGAGAGGTGGAGGGAAAAAAGATCTTCGGGCTTTGATAACCTTTTCTCCTTTTCCCCTTCCCTCTCTTCCCCCATCTCCTGCCTTGTCCCTCTTTTCCCATCTCCACAGGGGCTCTGCAGCCCTGCCCAGCCGGTTCACCATGAGATGAGGCAGGGACTTTGCAATCCCTGTTCCAGGCTTTTGCAGGACACAGCAGAGGAGAAGGGATTTGAGGTGCAGGGGCTCAAAGCCCCAGAGGAGATGGCTCTGCCAAAGTACACGTAGCTCCTTTAAGAAAAAGCCTATAGCTTTCCCCTCTTTTTCCTGGATCTGTATCTGCATGCTTATGATAGATTTACTGTGATTCTATCAGTTTATGATTAAAACTCATAAATTTTACTAGGCCTTTTTCTTATTTTCCATAATCCTCAGGATTCAAGGCAAGCAAATTTTAACTGGAAAGCATAGGCTGTTCTGTTAGTCCCATGTGATGGGGAATGGTTCATTTCTCAATCCACCCCCATTATTGGTGGTACTGAAGAAACACTGTCCTGTGAAAGTTTTTTTCTCAGCTCCCTTTAAAACAATGTTCTTACCTGAGAAAAGGATTAGAGGAACAACACAAATTGTACTAAAACACAGTTTGCCCTGCTACTGTGGTTTGTTCCCATCCTGAGGTTTCCAAGTAGAGTTTCCCTGCAGATTTGGGAGGGTGCTGAGGGTCTCAGGGTGACCAGCCTGCAATGAACAGGGTGGCAGGTGTGGGTCCCTGCCAGCTGCTCCATGTCAGCTCCTACCACCAGGCAGTGGGTAGCTCCAGCTCCTCTGGAGATTTCATCACGTGCCTGTTACGATCCAGGTAATAAGACATTTCATTCAAATGAGCAAATTTATTCCAGTGGCACTTTAATAACAAAATCAATTAAACTACACTTCCCAGCAGGGCTTTATCATATGCTACAGCTACAGCATATTGCCTGAATACACTAAATTCTCTCTCTGAAATAAAGTGCAAAGTTTAGAAGACAGATGACACCATTTGCAGCACTAGTAGAATAATACCCTAATAAATCTGTGGCCACCTGGGCACTTCAGAGTTGTCACACAGTGCACTTGGTGGCCACTGGGAACTTCACAAAGACAGTGAGAACTGGAATGAGACCTTTGTGCTCCTGGGGCCCAGAGTGTAGATGTAGGGAGCATGGGCTCTCGAGCACAGCCCTGTGTCAGAGCAAGGAGGCATCCAGGCACACAGACTAGCCAGAGGAGAATGCCCACATGGGAACACTGGGGACTTGGGTATCAGTGCAGGCTACCTTATCTGTGGTGGCTCCCTCTGAAAGAAGTGGCTCTGACCAGGCAGAACGGTGAGCATCCAGCTTGGAGACCAGGCTGGCCTCTCCCAGCAAAGCTCTTCGGTGTCAGCACCAGGCTAGAAAAATGATGGGACAGTCAGGAAAGGCTGCTGGTCCTGCAGGCAGCACCCTGGGAAAGGCAGCTGCCCAAGGAAGGACCCAGGTAAGGGAGCAGCTGCCGCCCTGCCCAGCGCCATGCTCTTTGTGGCTGCTCTGCCCCGGGCCATCCTTCTCACTCCCTGCCCACCTTGAGCCCCCCCATCAATTACCCACTGCTGCTCCATCGCTGTTTCCCCCTCCTGTCACACTGCAGCACCCTGCCTGAGGAGATTATGGCTCTTCCCTCCTCCACCATCCTCCCAGCCCATCATCCATCAGCTCTTCAAACCCTGCCCTGCTCTCAGCCATTCCATCTGCCAGTCAGCCATTTCCCACCAGCTCTCTCCTCCTCATCATCACTTCAGCTTGTGCTTCCCAAGCCTATCAGTGTTCCCCAGCCTTGAGTGCTGCGAAACTAATTAGCTCACTACAAAGAGTGAGGAATAATTAGGGACTCCAGTGAAAGCCCAGAACTAGGGCACCTCGCCTTAAATAAACGCGAGCAAATGTCTCTGTGCTCGGCTGACGGCCGCGATCGCTCCGGGCGCGCCATTACCGACTCGGCGTCCCCTGGCCCCTGCTCCAGGCGTGTTCACCAGAGGTGCCTCTGCTCCATCTCACCCTTTAGGCAGGTGCTTTCTGGGTTTTTTGGCTCGTGTCCCTGCACCTAAAGCCAGCTCCTCCCCGTATCTTCACTGCTAGCCAGGAACGAAAGCAAATAGGCAGCATTCCTGGAGATGCTGGTGCTGCCTCCTCAGCAGTGCACCATCTCCACCCCTCTCTGGGGGAAAGCTAGAGCCAAGCATGGAAAATAGCAGGAAAAACATTTGCAAATTTTTTCTTTCAGTTGCCTCTGCTGGGTAGAAGAGAGGCTAAAACACTCTTTCCCCTGGGCAGCTCCACTGTGATGGGCTGAAGCCTGCCCTGCCCCATTTTGGAGCCCCTACAGACCAGGGTGATACAAGAGGAGGATTTGGGAGCTGCAAGGTCCTTCCTCCTCACACACAGACCCGGTTGGGGACTCCCCATGTGAGCACCAGGAAGTCCCTGGTGACACACACCCTCCAAGGAAATCGCCCTCCCTCCTGCCTCTACCAGGTAATGAGCAGGTAAGGAGAGATGAAGGCAGCCCAGACTGAGGTGTCCCTGACCTTCGGCACTCACTCATCTCCTGGTACTGTGAACCTTCCTCCTCCAAACACTGTCTGTTCCTGAGGAGCTACACACAGTTTTGGCACTTACTAATGATATTTAATAACAACCTGACACTCAGCCCCTGCATCTTATCCAGGGACTTGAGGCAGCCTGATAATATCCTCAGCCATTCGGGCAGGAGCAGGGGAAGGTGCAGCAGGGCATGGGGACACAAGCCTTGCTTTAAGCCCTTTGGAAGAGCCTCTCCAATTTCTGCTCCCTTTGAACCTGCTCAGTGCTGGCTGAGCAGCCCCTCCTGCCCTTGCCTGTGGTGAGGAATGCTGATGGCCAAAAGGACAAGTTCTCTCCTTAGGGACCAACCACCAAAGGACCCCATGGATACTCTGGCACTTCACACAGAGCCACAACTCCTTCCATCAGAGGTCTCGTGGCCTCTTGGGTTTGGTTTGTTCTTCTTAGTGTTTTCTAGTGCCTCAGATCCACAGCCACAGAAGGGGCAGGGAAGGAGAAGTGGGAAGAGGGTTCTAACTTGGCAGCCTACATCAAACCAACCCCATCTGATTGCATTCTGTAATGTACTCATGCCCCTGCCTGCAGCAGCAATTGTGGCAGTGGGTGCCACCCCCAGATCCTGCTTGCTGCCACCAGCGAGGTGCATTTACTCAGCGCACCCAGCACTGTGCATATAAAATTACACTGCAAATGCAGCTCCCTTTTCTCCAGCCCTGAAGGGTTAAGGATTTGCAGAGAGCAGTGAAGCCAGGCAGTACAGGCAAGGCTGGATATGCTATATCTGCACCTTCAAATGGACTGGAGCAGCTGCTCCCCTCTCCTGGGTGGCTGCTTAAAGGGACAACGCCAAGGTCAATTAGACCCAACCCTGGACCTGCCTTTTCTTTCTCATTTCTTTTTCCCAGGCCTCACAAGTGTTGACTATTCATATGGCTGAGAATTCAGGACAAAAACTGAGAGAGATTCAAACACCTTCATCTAAGAACCCTTCCCAGGCTGGCTGGCAAGGCAGCTCAGCATTGCCTGCTCCACAACAGCTCACTGGCCCACTGCAACCTGCTCCACAAACCACAGGGGAAGAGACCCAGAGCTTTTTTAATTCCCCTGCTTCTCTCTCTGTGTACCTGGAGAGCATGTTTTCACACCCACTGAGTGCTCACAGCATGTAAATGCTCTGTAGCAGAGTCCATTTCGGGATAAAACCTCCGCCTAAGCCATCTTACATCAGGCTGGGAACAGAGGCAGGGCCAGTCTATTTGCTCTGGAGCAAACCCCCTTGGTTCTGCACCAGAGGAGTCCCTGGGCATTGCTCCAACCTGGCAGAGGGCTGCCACCAGGCAGAAAGGTGCAGGAGTGGGTTGGCTGCGGGCCCTCCAGCCCCCTCTAGAGTAAACCCCTCTGACAGGATGCTCTTGAAGCCAGCCTGCCAGCGTCTCCACTTTGCTGGTGGCTCCAGGTGCAGGTGACAGCAAGGTTCTGCTGTCAGGACCCCAGCAATAGCACCAAAGCTGGGAGCAATCCTCAAAAGCAGAAGTGTGATGAGGAAGAAGAGATATAAAATCACCTGAGACAATCTTGCCCAGTGACAGAAGGATCCTGCTCTGACATCTTTTAAGGAGGATGAGAAGTGCCCTGAAAGTCTGAGATGGGTTGGGATCTGTGTGGAACTGGAGGTTTCTTCTGGCACAAGGCCCTCACAGATGGATACTCAAGGCAGCAAACAGACAGACATCTTTATCCTGCAGTGCAAGTGGAGCTGTTCTTGTCTTTCAAACACACACCTAATCATTTTTAAGATCTCTGCCTCAGAACTATCTTTTTGATAAAACTAATCACA